AACACAGTTCATGCACGTAGCTCTCTTCTAACGAGCTGGTTATCTGAATCGGGTGTGTTAACTAAGCGAGACACACAAAATATGCAGAGCGGGGCAGCGCGAGGACTGGAATTGGGAACCGCTGGGCTGCATCATGTGTCATTCACCGGTGAGAAAACTTTAAAAGTACTACAATACCAGGAAGGAAGATCGGGTTGTTGATGTTCGTCTGCCATTCTCACTCTGTCTGTACAGCGTGCGTAAATGCGCTGATGACGTATCCTGCGCAAACCGGGTGCGCAGAGGTATACTAATACATATGTTGACAGGCAGGTAGGAAAGCCAATTAAAACGCTCGGACCGAGCGTTTTGATTGGACGAACATTTCTTTGTCCTACGCCTTCCACAGAATATATAAATACAGATAAAGACATTTAGACCACTTAACTTAATGATTACTATCAGGATGTGAAGAGACTTTCAACCAGCATAACAAAAAAAATTTTCTGAAGACAATCACCTATTGCACCTTTAACATCTACCTTACTATTAATAAGCAGCAATTGAGGCAAAAGTTGCAATTAATGGTATGTTAATAGAGGGAATTGGACCTTTAAATAAAGTGTGACCAATAAAATATAAATACACTTAAACTTATTTAATTTCTTATATACTTATTTAATAGGTTGCCAAGGCAACACTTAAAAATAACGCAGATTTAAAATATTGAAACCTAAACTAAAACTAAAATCCATATAGACATATATAAAAAAAACTCTTTAACTAAACACTTTAACTAAAGTATCAATGATACTAAAATAACACTGGTCTCTTCCTGTCTACGTACGTGGTGCTTGTCCAGAATAAGCTACAATTTGCAAAAGTAATCAGTGACACTAATATAAACTTAATTTAGTTATCCACACACACACACACACACACACACACACACACACACACACACACACACACACACACTTCAAAAATAGAACATGTGAACTCTAACAAGATGAACCAGAGAAAAGTTGCTATGGCAGAGTTCTGTTACCATGCCAATCAGAATATTACAAAACGGCCTTTTATAGCAGTGTGATCATGTATGTTGTAACCAATTAGTATTTACAGTTTATCTTTTAACACATTTTATCTTTTGACACACACATAGTTACCTGTATGGAAGAATTTCCCAGAAAATCCCAGGTTAAAGGTGAAGTTAGAAATGTACGACCTCAGCATGTTCTGTGTTTCTAGAAGAGCCTGGAAGATAAAAACATCAAACATTAGAAGCTGAAGATTGCACTGTTGACTGCCTATCCACTGCTCAGTACTTGTCCATTCATCCATTATATATCAATCAACCATAATATACACCACAATATTGAACTTTTTGAATTAACATCATGCGGTAGTATATGTGTGCACGGTCTGAGTGTATGCATATAAGGATGTGATCGATCTTTCCGGGATGAGTAATGGCATTTGGGTTTAGCAGGTGCCTCCTTGCAGCAGTTCCAATAAAGCAGTCTAATATATTTCTAGCCTAAGACACCATGCAAATACAATCAATATCTGTCTGAAAACTGACAGTGAGTGTGAGCGTGTGTGTCACTGTTTTGTAGGATATATGGTAATATCGCAGAAGGCAGGAAGGGGCGTGTTGGCTGACTTAGCCGGTGTCATCAAGTCATTACTCACAGAGCTCGGGAAGATATGCTGACACACACTCCGGCACACAGGCAGACACACACGGACGGGACCCAGGAGACACGTGTAATATATTTGATTTTATCCTCCAGTGAGAGTGTGGCAGTTATATCTGATGACATTTTGGTAATTAATTCCATTTACATTCAACTAAACATCAGCAACAAAATCAGCACAGGTACTCGCATCCTGGTAATCAAATCAGCTTGCCCACGTGACTGTGCGCCAGTCTATGTGCGCTTTGCATCTTAACCTAATAGAGTGGCATTTTGATCGAGCGCTCATTAATTTAAAATGATCTGGCCTCATCTAATTCAATGTTCATGCCGTAATGTGATATTACTAAAACGGAGGCTTTTGGTGAGATGCCTTTTTGAATATTGAGCGGAGCGTGTTATGTGTCTTTTGGGAGGTTCAGCCTGATGTTCGATGGCTCGTGGCTCAGGAAGCAAGGTAAAGGGGAGTGAGTAAGATAAACCTGTGAGTAAGTTACACCAACTCTTGCATCAAGGTATCTGTATGTTTTTTTCATGTGATCATATAAACAGGAAGTATCCATCAGTATTTAAGCACATGGCAAAAGGACTATGTACACTGAAAGAAATTTGGTGTCGAAACAATTTTCACTCAGAAATTGCTAGTAAATTTTGCAAATTATTACAAAGAAACAGCAAGTAACACATTGAATTAAAACATTACATTTTTATAAGTATAAAAACTGAAGTTTTTTTTTAAACATTTGAAGTTTTAATGACTTCTTTGCCAAAACATTTGATTGGTTTCAGCAACATATTTGAATTAAAATTAATTTATTGCAATAACTGCCTTGTTTATGATATTTGGAATTAGTAAGAGGACCTAAAGGAGTGGAGTTTTTTTTGTCTACCTACTGTATATGTTTTTTATAATGCTTAAAATGTAAAAACATTTTTTTTGGAAAATTTTTGGATTTTTGCTTTTTGTGGTTGACCCAATTTTTCCATCACAATGTACAATATAAATATTTACAATGTAAATATTGTAAGAATATTTACATAATAAAAATATAATAAAAATGTATATAAGTAGTAAAAAGCATCAGAGTCAAACTCTATGTGGTTTATTTTATATTAATATACATGTAAAATAAAAATGTAAATAAATTAAATCATAAAAGAAAGGAAGACAATGACTATATTATAATTAATAAATAGATTACAGCTAAAAAAAAAAGAAATATAAGAAATAATGTATGTGGAATTTTACTTTACTTGAAAATTTAAATTGATTAGTTCATCAAAAAACCATATGTTTGTGGCATTCTGTCATAAACTTAATTTTGAATTTATCCAATGAGAGGCTTGTTTTAACCAATGATAATAGACGCCTTAAAAAGTGACAACAAACGGGACCTCATCTTACCCTGCAAAATGTAGATGTATTCTGTTGCAGGAGTGAGAGGGAAGAGTTCAAATAAAAGAAAGAGAGAGAACACATTTAATACTGATGTGGGAATCTGGGATGTTGGGAATCTGACATCATAAGATAAGAATGCCAAGTGCAGGAGAGATGGGAGGGGAATGACAGGATGAGAGGAGAGAGTGAACCTGAAATGGATGACAGAAGGAAAAAAGAGATAGACAGAGCTATTCTAGGAGATTTTTCGACACAAAGTTTCCTGTTCTCTAAGCAAGCCGTGACATGCGCACACACACGCATAAATTGCAAAACTCTTCCAAAATGTGACTCTAAAATAGCAACACAAACAACAAACATATCAGAAAAGTTACCGAAACTTCCTCAGCTAATTTCTACAGTCTGCAGCACTCGCATCCATTGTCAGGGTCCTCTTGATTAAAATGCAACAAACTGAGCTAAATTAATTATTTAATGGTTAGGTTTTAACCAGCTCTGTCTTAAATCGATTCCTTACATTTACTGCGCACACTTCAAAAGAGTGCACATGAATCATTAATGCATTAATAAGCCAAAGAAGCAGCTTCATAATGGCATCATAGTTCTGATGCTTCCCGTCAGTTTGGAGATGCAGTGCACGCTGTCATAAGAGCCAAAAATAGTTTATTTTGAATAATCTGTTTTATTGTCATTTATAATAACCAAAACCTTCACATGCTTTACTCCAGTATGATATTATTTCTGGTTTTGAGGTTTGAGGGTTACTGTAAATTTTGAGCCTTTGGCTTGGACTACATTTTTATAAACCAGTCTTTTGGGTCTCACTCCAGGCAGTTTATGGTTAAGGGTGTTTATGTGGTTCAGCCTATGATTATTTGGTGAGAAGGTTCTTCCAGGACAAACAAACAATGTTAAGTTTGTGAACCTACTTAACACATTGTGCAAAGCGTTCACATGTACAGGATTTATCACAACAGTTTTGCACTGGGTGTGAATTACAAGGAGGTTTAGGGAGGACTAGAGGGATCAAGATAATCTAATTAAAGAGGAAATTGATGTTATACAACTGATGTCAAAATGAACCATTTAAAAAACATATATGCTTAGCAGCCTGAATTTTACATATTAAGTTTAAACAGCTTGTGAAGCTTAATATAATTAATATATATCATATTATAACAATACATATAATTTCATCCACCCCTATGAGTCATACTATTGACATTGCCTGAGCTGTCTAATATATAAATGCATAGAACAAAATGTCATGGAAAATTCTAGATAATAAACCACTCAGTGAAATTGGAATGAGTAGAATTGTATCTTATAATGTATTTGCCACATCGCGCTATGAAGCTTACCAAAAGTATTATTGAAAATATTTAAAACTATTTTTGGAAAAATAGGCTAATACTATCATCTATTGAAGCAGCATATTTTGTTTACAAAAGTAACCACAAAAGTTTCAAACCTTCAGAAGAACAAGACTAACCGCCACAGACTGTGTCCTGAAAATTAATTTTATTTAAACTACAAATAAACAGTAAATATTTGCAACCTGATATTTAATATTTGATTTTATATAATCTAACTTACGTTTTTAGCATTATTCATGTTAAAATATGCTGCTTCAATAAATGATAGGGTTAACATATTTATAGTTTGTTATTCCACAACACTCTGGATAAGCTTTATAATCTATAAACATCAGAAAAACATATATATATATATATATAAAAAAAATTTTTCTCTCTAATGTTTCTAACTAATCAAAAATGCCATAAAATATATTTCTGCATAATTTGTAATTTTTCATTGGCAGTTTTCTTGAATAACTGAAGTGCATAAGGGAAATATATCTAAAATATACATCAACAAATATTTGTAACTTGTAAATACCAACATCAGCCACTAGGAATGGGTGTTTCTGCCAAGATTACGACTGGCATCACTTCTATGGCCTGCACTAATCCAGATGCTGTGTCTGGATACTAGTGGCATTGGAAAATTGTCAGAAAAAACACACATACACAAAAGCCTCATTCCCACACTCACAAGCTGTCTTTGCCAGCTTCAAATAGAGATCGCACACATTTAACCTAATTTTTAAACTTATTGTCTTTGGTTGACCTAAAATACCTTGGATGAACTGAAGTGGTGGAATCACTCATTTGACTTCATTAATCAGCTTCAGCCTAATAAGTAACCGCATACGCTCCGATCCACTGAGCTAGTAATCAGACAAAGTAATCAGAGCATACAATGATACGGTTTCTTCAAGGAAAGTGCATTCTACTGACTTTTTCGCCACAGAAATTTAATCAGTGCCCTTAAGACGTAATGGAGAGATGTATAATTCACTTGCTCAATGCAGGTGTGCAGTGCAAATGGACAGTTTCATAAGATTTTTTTTGCAGAATTGTCTTTAACTGAAGGCAATGTTGAAATAAAAGTTCAATATTCTTGCATAAAATAGACTTCATTAATATAATGCTGGAGAGTTTCATAAAAACAATTTTTGAAAAGTAATATTTAGGGGCTTCTTTTCCTGGAGGCAACACTATGTGACAATGGAAAGAAATTAATCAAACTCTTTGCCATTGCTTAATATGAAACACTGCTACATGATGCAAACTAATGAAAATTGTCTTTTTTATTTGATTAAATGCTAAGTAAATACTAAGAGGTAGATATTTAATAATGGACGATGAAAAAATCCCCATCTGAATACTAATCATGCTGGCCTTTGTTATGTTCATATCCATTAGACTGTCGCACAAATTGCTTCTAGGCAAAAAATATATTTAAAGAATTGCAAATAGCATACAATTAATTTAGATTAAATGTTTGAAATTGAAGTTTACTCATTAACAAATGTGAATATGTCACACTTTCTTTACTGAACATATTATTGTTATCGTATATGCGTCATGTGTTTACAAAGCAAAGAAAATTTTGTGCAAAGTTTGTTACATATTGTTCAACAGAAGGTTAACAGAGACAGTCAATGTGTCAAACTGATATGTAAGTGCTTTTTTTATTTCACAGGCTCCTTTTGAGCACATAAAATTATTCCAAATGTTTCCCCAAAACTACAATCAAATATAAACAACTGTAAGTTTATCAGTGAGTTCATAGTGTTTAGATCCTCATAAAAG